AGCCAGGAACGCCTCAAGCTGTGCTGCCACGCTTGGTGCCCTTGGTGCTTATCGCCCCCAAAGACCCCGCGCAGGGAGAGACACCTTCTCCCAGGGCAGCTGCACTGCAGCGGAGCCTGTCCCTTTTGGGGGATGAGCCTGCTCACCTTGGAGCTAACTCCTGCCCCAGAATGAGCCCAAAGTGAAGCCGTAAATAAGATTAGCCGCCTCCTCTGAGGAAAATTGCTCATGAGCCACCTGTGGGGCTGCCGAACCTCCTCCCTTTGGGGAGGAGGGATCGCAAAGCACCGAAACCCGCAAGCAGAGCAAGCCCGGAGGAGCGGTGTCTTGTACTCGCGTCAGGGTCGCTCTGCCTCGCCTCACCGCCGCCTCCGCCCCAGGAGCGCCGAGCTGGTGCAGCAGGTGGACCAGGACGACGCCATCTACCACGTGGTGAGCCGCACGCCCAACCTGGAGAACAAGCCGCAAGACTTGGTCATCCTGGCGTCCCGGCGCAAGCCCTGCGACAAGGGGTAAGCCGAGGTGCGGGGCGGCCCCACGGGGCACCCCTCAGCCCTGCTCACCGGGCTCCCCGCTGCCTCCAGGGACCCCTACGTGGTGGCCTTCCGCTCGGTGACGCTGCCCACGCACCCTCCCACCCCTGCCTTCACACGCAGCGAGACGCTGTGCTCGGGCTTCTGCGTTTGGCCGGAGACGGAGGAGATGAGCAAGGTGAGACCTTGTGTGGGGCGGACTGTCCTCCTGCTGCAGGGATGGCCCCCTGCATCCAAGGTGTCCTCCTGGGCTGGTGCACAGCTCTGGTGCCAAGCGGTGACCACAGTGAGAGCTGAGCCCAGCAGGTCCCAGCTATGGAGGAGCTCATGGCCCCTAAGCACAGGGCCTTTCTCCTCGCCTGGCTGCCCCTCTGCACCCCAGTGGAGGCAGCAGGAGGAGGCCAAGCCCAATGCCCACACTCGGCAGAAGAGTTTTAGCCTCCACACACGTCCTTAACACATGTACCCACGGGGTTGCAGGTGGCCTACTACAACCAGGCCACACCAGCCTACCTCAAGTATGTGACCACCAACATCGTGGGCCTCTCCTCCAACTTCTACGCCACCTTCATGGCCTGCGAGAAGTTCCTGCTACGAGGACAACCTCATCCTGCGGCTCCAGGATCTCTAGCGGTCCCTGGCACAGTGGGAGGAATAAGTGGTTGCCTTTAGCAGCTCGTTAGTGGCCAAAGGGCACGCGAGTAAAATATGTTGTCTAGCTTAGTTAATGCTACTTGAATCTTTGTACAATCAAACTCTAACAGATTTTTTTTAAAAAAAAAAACAATTTCATGCTATTTCATTAATGTGAAGGGAGAAAAGGGCTGTGATTTGGGAGCAGAGACCTGCTCTCTGCCCTTGCCCTGGTCGTGCTGAGCACTAGCACTGGCTTGTCTGGATGAGGACGACAAAGAGTGAGGTTAAGCTGGCCCTGTGCAAAATGGATTTCTCCTGTTTAAGGCTCCTGCTGCAGAGGTGCTTTGAGTTCTTTTTTTTTCCCCCCCCTCATTTCTCAGCAAATCAGGAGTCAATGGAGCTGTGAGGCAGGGGAGGGGATGACTGAAGTCTCCATCTCACACTTCAGCTGCTGCCTAGGGCAGCAGGCAGGAGTGACAATAAAAGTGTATTAAAAGAAAAAAAAATCCATATATATGTGCGCACCCTGTGTCTGTGTTTCTTCTAAGCATTCCTAGGGCTCAGGAGGTGCAGGGGAGCACAGGAGCCCACCCTGCAAAGCTGCTACACCTCCCCTTCCCCCTGCCTGCCCGAGGGATGCGCAGCTGGGTCCCCTGTATGGCTGATAGATTCAGTTGTGGCTCTCCCTCCTCTGTTGCGATCCTCTTCTACTACCCCCATGGGCTCCACTTAGGCCTTCCTCAACTGCCCCTGATGGACCCTGCCTCGAGAAGGGTGTCCCAGGCATGCATCCCCCACCACACACTGTATCACACGCAGCCGCTGCAGCTCATGCTGCATGTTGCAGTTTCTAAAAGTCTTTCGTGCACACTGAAGTAGTTTAGCAATAGCTAAAACAGAACTTCAAGTTTTTGTTTTCCTTAGAGCTGTTTGAATGCAGCCTCTGTGATCTTAGCAGGAGGGTTTAAGTAGCTTTTTAATGTCTTGAGCACTCGATGCACCTAAAACTGCAGCATATTTCTGCAGCTACTTTATCAGGGCAGCTCAGGGAGAGAGAAATGAGTGATTTAGAGTTACTTCTAATTAAAAGCTGAAAGCCACCACAGAAGCATAGAGCCCTGTATGCTGGCTTTACCATTTACTGTGATGGATAAGGTTCTTACGCCTGGGTTTCAAGTAACTCTATGTCATTCTCTTGACTACCATACACTATTCCACTCAGTGAGAAAAATGATTGCCTCATCCGTTAGGCAGAAATCAGCCCACTTAAAACAGACATGCTTATTTCCAAATTATGCAGGACAACCAGTAAGTTACCCAGAGGGTCAGTAAAACACACTGCTCTAAGCAGAGCGCCCTGCATCGCTCTGGTGACAGCAGGGGTGACTGGAGAACAGAGAGCTGCTCCTCAGCCCTCAGAGGCCGGGCGGGCGCAGGGATAGGGCTGCAGCCGTGCTGGGTAGCACTCGGAGCAGACTGCTCTTACGCCCTGCTTGCTGCAGCCCGCACCCTGCAAGGGAATCGGGGATTTTTCACCAATAAATACATTCCCAGCTCCAATAGATGCTCTTCTGTAAGCCACTGGGTTGCTTTTAAGTGAATAATCCCATTTTGTGACTCCCCTTGCCATCCCGCTCGGCTGGCAGTTCCCTGCGCACTCCCTGCTCTCTCCCCGACACGTGCCGGGTGTTCTCGCACAAGCGGAAGGTCACAGTCCAAGCAGGGCATGAACAGCAGTCTCTGCCACACAATTCCTCGTTTCCTTCTTGCTCGTTACAGCCGATGCACCTTCTTGCTGGAGAAATACTTCTTGGAGAAAGGAGAACGCTTTACAAATGCCAAAACTGTTGGAGTCCCAGCCTTTACAAAATACCTGCAGAGATTGAAAGGAGTCATTTGGCTTCCCTGTATCTGGCCAAGTGTTATGTAAAGTGAGCAACTTCCCCCCACTTCAATAAAGACCAACCTCCCCAAGGCTGAGAACCAGCCACGTGGTCCCATCACCTTATACCTTCCCAACTAAGAGATGCCAAGAGCTAAGCCTGGAAAGGCAGAGACGAATTGCACTTAGAGCCCAGAGCTGATTCACTGAGCCTTTGTGCTCACTGGAATCACACTGGGGAAGCGGTGGCCCAGAGCAGCCTCACCTCTGGTGCTGCAACACTTGCAGCAATGTGTGTTCTGGGTTCACCTCATACATTTCTGCTCTTTCTTCATCTTCAAAATAGAGCTGAAGAAAAAAATGGGAGAGTTATTAAATAATTCAGATACATGAAGACAAATGCCTAAGCTGCAGAGAGCCCAGTCGCAGCACACCACATATCCACCAGGTGCTTATCAAACGTTGGTATCACGCAGTGACTGTCTGTATCAGTTGCAACTTCCGCAATACAGAAACTTTGTGTAAATTCCAAGTCCTCCTTGCAAAAATCAGTAACTGCTCAGCTTCTTACAACAACAGCAGAAGGAATGCAAAATATATCATTTCTGACCTTATCAGAGAAGCAACCTGTATCTAAAGGCTGCTTTTTACCTGGTAAAATGCTGCAACAGTATGAGCTAAACTGGCTAGGCTTAAATATATTGGAACAAAATGCAGCAGTTTTCACAGACTCAGATCCAACAGCTCTGCCTTAGACTGTGCATGTGCAGACCCACAGCTGGAATCAAAGCTTCTGATTTGGTAAACTGCATAGTTTCTGTCCCTTGGAGCTGCCTGCTCACTGTGCTAAGGGCTCACGCACATGACAATAAAGTGGAAAATGGGAAGCAACCATTAAATCCTTCCACATGCAATTCCTGAAAACTTCTCCACACCTGCTGTAGCCACAAACAATTCACAACCTGCATTTTTTAAACTCTTACTAAACATACTGGCTTAATAGGATTGTGTGTTTAAACAACAGTATTTAGTTCCAAAAATAAATTATTTTCTCATTTACATCGAACAACTTCACAACAAGTTTAGTTAAACATCGGGTCGTTTACTTTCTAGATTGTCTAAATCTTAATTATTTTTATGAAAATGGGCATCTAGAATATATGTTTAAATACCTTAAAACAAATAAAGCATAAGTGGAAAATAAAAAAAATCTTATTATTCTCAATGAATTCTGTCTGTCTAAGTGTCAGTGCATCTGGAAAACATTCAAGTTTATAACTGAATACAGCTCTTCAAAAATTTATTTCACATCCATTTATGATAAACAGGTAACGATGGTGTTGCTTTCATATACCCACAGCTGCTTAATCTTACTCCAGAAATCACAACTGAAGTAGAAAGTCAAACTGCTCACCTCGAGATTGCCGGGAAGATACTTCCTTTCTACGTCCCAAGGTGGTAACTCAGCAAACATCACCATTAAATGATCAATAAATCTAAAAGATAAAATACATATGTTAACTTAGACAAAGTATTCTGAAACATCATGAAAAACAAGAATCCATTCAGCTGCATGTGAGCAATTCAGCTTCAGGGATCTATACAGTTGCATTTTAATGATGGCAAAAAATACATTAGCAAATTAGAAAACAGACTCAGAAGTAAATTTAAATCAATATGGGGCCACAGTGGCGTTCCTTCAAACTCATTGCTTCCCTAAAGAGACCAAGGCCACGCTTTAACTCATGCCATTGGTTACAAACTTGAGCAATGCAACAGTGTGTTATGTTTAACTTCTTACTTTCACGCTGAAAAGGATGTCAAACACTATGTATTGTGTCTAAAACTGCCCTCCTTTCCACATGGTCCTACCAGCACCACGTTTCACTGGATCCGAGTCCAGAACAAGCCTGTCTGCCAGGAGCAGTATTCCTCTGCTACTTCAGGACTGCCAGTGCGCACACTGTTCCAAGACCCACTTCTATTTTCTTTAGCCATGAAAATATGTACTTAATTCAAGAGAACTACAGCTTTATTAACCTGTTTGCACCATAACTTTCAGTGCATTCACCTTGTGTTCTCATGAAAAGCCGCAACGAAGTCTGTTTGCTCGTGCTCTGGGTACAGGAAGAGGACAGGCCAGTTGAGGCTGCCGTCAGCATCTAAGTGCACCTTGGCATCCATGGCATTGCCAGAGCAGAATCCATCCAAGGACATCTCAGCCAGACCGTCTGACATCTCCTCTTCCTCGTTTGAAGGCTCAAGAACCACCTTGATATTTCTTTCCTACAGGGGAAGGAAAAAAAAAAAAAACAGGGAGGGCTTAGTGGTGGCAGGGAATATGATAAGGAAACTAGCAGTCAATTGAAGGACAAATCACATCACTCTTGCAGAGCCTGCTCTTAAACATGCCCACTGAAAGCCTTCCTGCAGTTTGGGGTAGCTAACTGGTCCTCCCAGTAAAATCCAGAACCTCAGCCAGATTCCCAGACTCCTTGTACGATGGACGAGGAGAGCTGGAAATCCAGAGGACCAGCATGCTAAGAGAAAAGCCCAAGAGAATGGAAGGGAAAAGGATGCACCGGAATGCTAGGAGCAAAGCCATGCAGATAGGGAGGATCATGGTTGCACGTGAAAACAACCCAAAACAAGCAGGAAAACCACTGCTGTGGGGAGCGGGGGTAAAGCTCATTGGCCCACCTTTATTGCTGCCAGCAAACTTTCCTTTCGACACTGTTCTTTCCTCTCCATCACCTTTGCCTTCCTTGCATCCCGCTCCTCGACTCGCTGCACGTAAGAGAAGGTTGCACCATGGTTACACACAGCAAGTAAACACTCAGCACTGCTCTAGCCTGCAGATGAGAAGTCACTTCGGATCCCCGGGAGGATCTCGGCTCTTTCCACTACACATCTAGACAACACACTCTAGGCAGAACCCCCATTTACCACCGGGAAAGTTACACTACCCAGGAACTTAAAGGGAGCAGCGTCCACCAAAGGAGCCTGCAGCACTTCCTGATACAAACTGGGCAGAACAGAGCAATCCAGATCAGCACAACAGCCTCTCGAGGCTGCCAGAACATTTACCTTCAACTTGTCTGCTTTAGCTCTCACTTCCAGGAGCTTTTTCTCCTTTGGGTCTATCTGCAAGCCCTCCTCACACCACGCTATTGCTTCAGAGAAATTCTTTAGCTCCAAGTGACAGAGAGCTCCTGAAAGGATGAAGGTGGGAGGTTTCTGCAGCAGAATCCATGTAGCACTTTGTGCAAAGCAGGAGTTATAAAGGCAGCGTTAGGCCTACTGCCTCAAACGGCAAATGCAGCAGCAGATCCTATTGCTTTGGAAGGCAGATTTAGATTGGATGTAACAGTATTAGGCTGAGAAAACTACTAATTTTTTTGACAAAATAACAAAAAAGAACACAAACAGATACCACCTACAGCTAGTGCTTGACATTTTTGAAACAAATACAGTTTGAAACAATGTTACCTGCTCCTAACAATTCAGGGTTTACAAACACAGAAACACGCGGTGAAAGAAAGCGAGACCTAACAGGCTATTCCAGGGCTGGCAGTAGTAACGGTGACAAGTTAAAACAACATATTCAAGGGTGTTCTGAAAGGACATGCCTTCCACTCCATGCAGTAACACGGGCTTTAACTCTCACCTCTCACGATCGCTTTGAGATGGGTGGGCTTCAGCTTTCTTGCTTGGATTGCGTCGTTCAGAGCAGAACGGTAGTTACCTACAAGCAAGGCAAAACTGCTCGTGTTTCACAAAACTCACTTGTGCCTCAAACCTTAAGCAGGCTTTGGCAAAAACCGCACGCAGAGGCGCTGGACTTCACCGCTTCTACAAGCACTGTGAGGCAAGCGAAGGAGGAGGGAACACCTTAACAGCAAAAAAACATAAAGGATAGGAGTCAATGAGACAGGGGAGAGAGAAATAACGTAGCAGTGGGCAGACCAGCACCAACGTCAAGGGGAAGGGTCCTCGCTGCGTTGATGCGGCTCGTAGGAGCAGCAGTGACTTGAAGGCCATGGGGCAGGGGCGAGGGACAAAGTGTTTCAGCCCAGCACACACTGGAGCCCCACAGAGCCCGCCCGAGGTGCCGCCTCCCCGAAACTGGCTCCGCATCGTAGCCACGGGTGGTACCAGGCCTGGAGGGCTGAGGGTGCCTTTTGGGGGTGAGCAGGGCATTCCCGAGCAGAGTATTCCTCTCGGAGTGCTGGAAAAGAGGCAGAGAGGCTACCGAGGCGGGCATGGGCGGCCGCGCGGTTTGTGCGCAGCACAGCCTCCAGCTCCGGGTCCTCGCACGGCTTCTTCAGCCCTTCCGTGTAGGAGAGCACGGCCTTGCCGTAGTCCTTCTCCCTGAAGTACTCGTTGCCCTCGTTCTTGTACAGCCTGGCGAGCTCTGTGGGGAGTGCGGCACTGAGCGGGGGGCTCGGGATCGTGGGGTACCCCCAGCACCAGCAACTCCCAAAACGTCCCCCACAGCCCCACATGGAGCCACCCCCCA